GGTGGTGCCAAAGGAGGGTCTGGTGCGACAAAGCGCGAATAAGGGAAAATATGCCACTCGTAATCAACTAGGGTCTCGATAATATGTTTGGTAAAAAAATAACGGGCACGGTCACTTCAAAGGGTGTTTTCACGTGTTTGATAAAACGTTTCACGGAATCAGTCACAATCAACAGGGAAAAAATAACGCGAATGGTCACATATGAAACTCCCGCCCAAAAAAGATAATACCCAAAACGAACCTGGATGCATTTTCGGATGAATCAACCCTAAACACAACTGGCCAGGTGTTTAGGGTTGATCCGTTCCCAAACCGCATCCGATTCCGATTGGGTTTTAGTATTTTGATAAATCAGCTGATTGGGTGGGCGCGAGCGGGAATTTTGTAGAGTTTCAAGAAATTTTGGCGGGAGTTACATGTGTGACCATTCGCGTGATTTTTCACCTGTTGTTAGTGACTGAATCCGTGACCCCACTTACCAAACCCGTCAGCAAACCAGATACAGTGACCGTACGCGTTACTTTTTTACCATTCACGTTATCGAGTCCCATGTTGGTTACTTGTGACATATTTTCCCTGTGAATAACCATTTTCCTGCCTTTGTAATGTAGTTCAGGAAGTGTACTGTTATTATGGAATTCAGGTGCAGGTGCATTTGGGGGGACAATTTGTTACTTTTTGGAGGGCTTCCTCTCACCTCCCAACAGCCTTTCGCAAAAACAGCGCAGCCCTGACAAAAGGGTCGCACGGTCCATCGTCGTGCAAGCTTTTGGACGGTAAGAAGGTGGGTTGCCAGATATCTGACTGCCAAGCTTCACTCAACCTCATGGACGTGGAAACTTTGACATGCCCAATCGAAATTCAACTACTCCTCGCGAAGTCGCTTATCACAGCGGCTGGTGAATGGCTTTCGTCGGTGAAATCGCGACTTCCTTTGTTACCCTCCCTCAGAGCTGTGGGAGCTTTCCCCCAAGCCTTTTGTGGTTACCTTGACGTTGCGAAAACAAACGATTTGAGGTCCCAGGCGCCAATGGGCCACCATCTATGATGCCGATGTTGGATGTTCCGAGCCGCATCAAGCGAAACATCTCACGAACCGCACTGCGCGTCGCGATCTCGTATTTTTTGGCACACCCCATCTTCACATTGGCTCAACATATAGTGTGATCCCTCCAACATATTTCACAACCGTTGTTGAACAATTGTGCTTCACATTAGGCCACTCGTCTCATGATCTTTGCAAGAAGCAGGTTCCTGTTGTGCAAGCTCCTATTCCACATTTTCTTCTCCATAAGGTGTCTGTGAGAACTTGAGCTCCGCGCACTAACAGCAATGGCGTTTCGACTTATGCTGCTGTTGACTCTAATCGCTTGTGCTTCCGCTGCTTCTGCTGCGTCATTACCCGCCTCAGCGTTTATGGGTGATCCATCCGCAAATCCGCACTCAAAAATAGCCGAGGCAGTTTTTGCGCATAAGGCGGCATGGTCGGGGCCCATCATCCCGTCCGCAAGTCCTGATATCATCGTTGCTCAGGATGGCTCAGGGAACTTCAAGACGATACAAGAGGCTATTAACTACGTGTCGCCCTACTCAGTAAAGCCCATCAAGACGATCATATTCGTCAAGGCAGGGACATATTTCGAGGAGGTCGTCATACCATCCACTCATGTACGAACTCCTACCACGTCAGCTTGATCTCGCGTGATTACAGAATATGGCGGTTAATTCCCCATGAGTCCTATGGTCAAAGTCTTTCTCCACGGTCGTTGAAACTCCATATTATTCCCACGCTCGTCGTTTACTGATACATTTTCCCCGTTGCAGCAATTCATTACGCTTATTGGTGAGCCCGGTCTCACCCGCGTGAAGTACAACAAATACTCCGCCAAGCTTGACGCCAATGGCAATCCAATCGGCACAGGTGCATATAAAACCGTCCAACAATTGAAGCTATTTTCCTGCTTTCCTGCACACCATTTCTTTTGAATCCCGCGGTCGCAAATCGTCAAAGTCCTTTTTGACGGCTTCTCAAATTTCGTCCTACCCTCCATCCTCGTAATGCCCGTTTCCTACCGTCCGACAGCCGGCACGGGCACTCTAGCAGCATTGGGCGACGATTTCACTATGATCAACATGATCGTCGAGAACAGCTCTCCACGTCCTCCGCCCGCTACCATCGGATTCCAGGCCGTTGCTTTTCGCGCTAGCGGCAATCGCACTGTAGTGTACAACTGCAGTTTTTACTCTTACCAGGACACTCTATACGCGCAAGACGGCTTCCAATACTACAAAAATTGTGAGTCACTGCTGCTTCTGTTCTGTTCAAGCCCGTTAACAAGCATATCTAGAACCACGCCTCTCTGCGCGCCCCTCCGTACTGTTCCTGCTTCGGGCCTACCACGCGCGCCTCACTCCCCCCCTTTTGTGCATATATCGCCAGGTTACATCTTCGGCGAAATGGACTTTGTGTTCGGCAACGCGCGCGCCATCTTCGATTCGTGCACTTTCTACATGGATTCGATGGGCACCGCCGCGGTCACAGCGCAGAAGCGAGACTCGCCGACGAACGACACGTGCTTCGTGATCATGTATTCGCAAATCACGGGCAAGAACCAGGGCTGGTTGGGGCGCGCGTGGGGAAAATACGCGTGCACGATCGTCGCGTACACGGCCATGGACAACGTCATTGCTGCCGACGGCTGGAGCGACTTCACGGTCCCGGCTAGAAGACTGACGACGTTTTACGCCGAGTATAACAATCGCGGGATCGGCAGCGTGCTCGAAGGTCGCGTGTGGTGGCAGCGGGTGTTGTCGGCGCGGCAGGTTAAGAAGTACCTAACGACGGACTACATCGGCCTAGGCACCTGGATTCCGCAGATGCCGGTGGTGAACCGCAACGTCGTGACGCCAAAGTTGGTCCCGAAAACGCCGCCCGCGAACGCCAAGTGGCTGTCGTGCGAGCTGGACGACGACGAGCTGGACGAATCGCAGGCGAAGAAGAACAAAAAGTGCTCCAAGTGCTGCATGAAGAAGGCGCTGCTCAGCCAGCGGCGAGACTGCATGAACTACTGCATGAAGTAGAATGAACCCGCGGAGTGGCTGTTAGGGGGAACGGTAGGAGGGGGGGAGAGGCGAGTGGATGGCGCTGCTGCTTGTGGTGACAAGAAATTGGAGGCGGCTTTTGGTAAGGGGGGTGGGTGAGGGGGGCGACATGGATCATTGATCTGAACAGATCATGATATGGCAGCAGATAGGTGGGTGAGTGACCCATGTGGCTGAGGCTAGAGAACATGACAGGAGGGCAGAAGATACGGTACACTTCGAGGCTTTAGATTAACAGCATCTATACAGATAATTGCTACACTCACTGGATGCCTTCGATATCTACCTAGCTTGTTCATGAAATTTTGTACTTACGCAATAATTGCCTCCAAATAAAAGCTATCATGCGCCAACAGCCTGAAACAGCAGCATTGGTACGTATGAACCAACCAGCCTTGCCCACTGGGCCTGTATGAAAGGGAAGGTATGTACCGGTGCCACGCCAACACAACCTTATACGTACTTTCCAGTTACCGTATCGCGTTTCGACTACTACTACGTCATTAGCATGTTCAAAACATCCAACATGTAAGACAACCCTATGAGTGCTGGTATGAGACCAGATCTACCCATAACACTAGCAGAGGCAAGACACGACTACAGTATACTGATGCAGTATGGAGTGGAATAAATCACATGCTGCTTGACAGCAGCGCAACACAGCAGCACGTGATTGTGACTTGTGAGCGAAAGGTGGAGGTTGCGAGTGCCGGAAGGGACAATAACTTGTTCCCAGTGGGTTGGAGGAAAAGGGAGAATGACCAAAAAATGAGATCAAAGACATCCCGTGACGAAAACAAAAAGGCACACACGAACACACGTTTCCCCCATCTCCACCTCCCCCAGCCTCTCCCAGGTTCCCCATCCCTCTCTTGCAACCTTTGGTGGAGTTCTCAAGAGTGAGCAGGGAGGGGGGGTATCGAGCATAACCAGACAAAGGAGCACCAGAGCTGAGTTTGACGGCTTTGGGGATGATTGCGTATGGTGCACAGTCAGCGATGGGTGCTGTGGTGTTGGTACGACGAGGGATGGGACAGAGGCTGCGGCATTGGAAGCAATGCCAATGTGCAGTGCACATTGCCGCGCACATGCATGCACATGAAAACAGACACCCCGCACACGTTAACAATGCATACACAGACACACGCACGCATGTGTACATGCATGCACACACCCACACACATGCACATACACACGCACACACATGCACGCACCCACACACATGCACATACACACGCACACACATGCACGCACCCACACACATGCACATACACACGCACACACATGCACACACCCACACACATGCACATACACACGCACACACATGCACACACCCACACACATGCACATACACACGCACACACATGCACGCACCCACACACATGCACATACACACGCACACACATGCACGCACCCACACACATGCACATACACACGCACACACATGCACGCACCCACACACATGCACATACACACGCACACACATGCACACACCCACACACATGCACATACACACGCACACACATGCACGCACCCACACACAGGAGCACGCACGCACACACACGCGCACGTACGCACACGCACACATGCACACACACACACACACACACACACACACACTCACACACACACACACACACATGCAAGAACAGGGGGAACACAGGGGTTGGAGAAAGAAATGGTGTGTGAGAATACCACACCCGGGCAAACAGGCAGCAAGCCATCAGAAACAACAACAGGGGGTTGACAAATGGAAATGCAATCAGGAAATAGTGCAAGCCTTTGTTTTTATAGTAGCATAACTCTCAAATCCAGTTATGGTGGATTTGCTATGTATAGCCTTCCCTCTGGCTGGAGTAGCAACCCCCCCAAGTGACAGACTGAAAAGACTCTTTCCATCAGATCAGCCTCACACCTATCCCACCAACCCCAGCCCTCACCTCCTGGAATTGCCCGTTCCCTGCATGGTTCACCCTCCCCCGCTCCTGCTCCCCCTGCGCCCCTCTCCCTCCGCCACCACCACCAACCCCACCACCTCCGCCAGTCCCTGCCACTTCCCCTCCCCCTCGCCCTGCCCAGAGGCGCCGTGGGGGGGTAACCCACCGGGGCATCATAGGGCGCACACACCCCACCGTCTCCGCCTTAGCACTCTCCCTCCCCTCGCCTCCCCCAGGCATCCCCCCTCCCCACAATCTTCCGCTTCCGCCCACCAACCCTCTCCCCAACGTCTCCGCTGCCTCAGTCTCTGCAATCCGCGCCCCCACGCTCTCATAAGGGGAGGAGAACCAGAGCGAGTGGGGATCAGCGCTAGAGGGGGAGGGCTGCGCGGGTGAGGGGAGGGCGGAGGAGTGGTAAGCGCGGTTGAAGGGAAACGTTGCCCCTAACGGGGGGTTGTCTCCGGGGAAAGAAGGGGTTTGCGGGGTAGAGGAGGAGCCGATTCCCGCAGCACGAGCGGCTGTGTCAGATGCGACGCTTCGGGGGACGTTCAGGATTTTATCCAGGGGCGGAACGGGAATCTGCTCTGCTTCCGAAGGGGGTCCCCCCTCCCCGTGGCTGGCCGCGTGGCGGGAGCGGCGGGAGGAGCGCGTGCGGAGGGGGTCCCGGCGGAAAAGAGACGTGAGAAAGGTGAGAGAGAAGGGTTGGGAGGAGCGGTGGGGGTGCGGGTCGAGAGTGGTGCGGTGGGGGAACGTGGGTGTGGCGGAGGAGGGGAAGTGAGCGGACTTGGGCTGTGCTTGCTGCTGCTGCTGCTGCTGCGGCGACTGGTACTGCTGTTGCTGTTGCTGGTATTGCTGCTGTTGTTGCTGCTGCTGATAGTAAAGCCGCTCCTGAGCATCGAATGATAGGGATTGCCCAACGTGTTGACGCTGAGACTCACCCTTCACTCCCATCACCTGCTGCTGCTGCTGCTGCTGCGCCTGCACCTGCTGCTGCTGCTGCGGTTGGGAGTAACCCGAGACACGTGGCATCATACCGCCATGCTCGTTTGAATACCCTGCCACCGCCTGTCTGTGATCCGGGTGCTCCCTCCCGCCCCTAGGAGACACCAAGCCCTGACTATTCTCCTGCGCGTTCAAACCGTCCCTCCCCTGCGCCCCCTCCTCACGCGCCCCTATTCCCCTCAACCCGCCGCTCCTGCCGGATGCGCCCGCGCCCAGCCCTTCCCCCCATGCCATTCCGCCCCCCACGCCTGTCGCCTCGCGGAGTACGGACATGCTGTTCGCATATGCGCTCACCTCCATGCGCGCATCCACTCCGCTTCCGCTTCCGCTTCCGCCTCTCCTCCCTGGTTCCCCGCTCGCGCTCGCTCCCCCTGGTCTCGCTTCACCTCCGCCTCCTCCGCCTGCGCTTCTTCCGCGGGGGGAAACCGGGGTTCCCGCCGCCGGGATTCCCCCTCTACCCACAGCATCCGCCCCCCTGTGGCCGGCATTCCCCTCATTACCTGCTTGCGCCGCCCAAGCCTCCGCTCCGCGCTGACCCCCTCCGCTAGTCGCCCCACGACTGTCGCTTCCGCCAGCCGCTACTTCCCGACTCCTCCCCCCCGCTTCCGCCTCAGCATGACCACTCGCTCCGGGTATATTGCTAGCAAAGCCAGTGCCCCACCCTCCCGCGCCCTGGTCTCCCGTTCTTCCTCGATCTTGTTCCGCGCCTTGCGCCTTTTCTTGCGCGCCCTGCGCTCGCTCTTGCGCGCTGCTGCACTCCCCCTGCGCAACGCCCCCTTCCGGCGGCTGCGCGGGCTGCTGCGCCAGATCGGTGGCGTCGCGCAGGAATCGCACCATGTGCTGGCGACGAAAGTCGGCGACTGACGTCGCACTGCGATTAGAGCGTTCCTTCAAGCCGCGCAAATCAATCAATAGCGCCTCCTCATTCCCCATGCCGGTTCCAGGCATGGCTTCCGGTATGCGCACATGCTGCTGCTGCTGCTGTTGCCGTTGCTGTTGATGTTCCTGCAAAAGCTGTTGTTGATGCTGATGCAGCTGCTGCTGCGCCTGCGCGATGCTGCTGCTATGCCATTCTGTACCACTGATGCCATTACCAGCCGTGCGATTCTGCAACGGGTCGTGGCCGAGCGCCTCTGCGAAACGGTTCTCTGCGAAAGACTCGCCGGCGACGCCGCTAAGAGTCGCCATCGGTGATCGACCAGTACGCTGTACGAGCAGCAGGCTTAGAAATACAAATCACGAGCGACGACCTAGATATGTTCTTATACAAAATTCTGCGATAGCCTTTCTTCAAGTGAGTACCACTACTAACCGAAACACCATGGACTACAAATATGACGCACCACTGTGCGTGCCATCCATGAGGTGTACACGCTTCTCGTTGTTCAGCGGCCAAGTCTGAAATATTGCTATGGGGACATAAATAGGAATGTTGATGGAGAAAGGATTACAGATTGTGGGAAGTGAAGTGGGAAGGAAATGAGATGTGAAGTGGAGGGGAAAGGAAGAATATACTGCTACAGCATACCCTGGGGTGCCCGTACCCTTGAGAACACTGGGATGAAACAACTGTAGCATGTAAAAATATGTACATTGCAGCAGTGAATTGTGCATTTCTTCCTCCACGGTTGTTCGATCGAAACTGCCGTGCAACAGCATGCGATGTACAGCGCAGTGGAACTGTGGATCATCTTACACCAACCACAGAATCTATTCGGCAGGAATTGGCTGCCCGAAAGCGGGAGTGCTGCAGAGACACAGGGGTTGGCTGGTTGCCCTTGCCCGCAAAACTTTCGTGTCTAGGAGGGGAGGGGTGGCACTTGGAAGGGGATTGGATGGAGTAAAGCAGAATGCTGGGCTGGAGTGTATTTATAGTGGTTTCTTACATATGTCCCGTCCTACAGAGAAACGCAACCTTAATTTTGGGTTAAGTGTTAGAGTACACACAATATAAAACAAGATACAATCCAAATTTGCAGTGGGTTAAATGTGCGCAAAATATGAAAACCAACTTTGTAGCAAAGCCCTTCATAACTCATTCGTAGCCTAGTGCAACGGGTGAAGCCTGGTTCCCACAGTCTTGCAACACCTGATTCATCAATTCCTTAGCACCACAATCGGGTGAGACCAGGGAACTGCTTTATCCGATGTCTAATGATGGGATGATGAATCCATACATAAATACACAATCAAGAGCCGCACAAGCATGTGTCATTTACAACAGCCCTGTAGTTCTCCTCTCCTCCACCGCTTCAACCCTTGTTCCTCATCTTAACATCCTCCTCTGTGTGTGCGTGTGTGTGTGTGTGTGTGTGTGTGTGTGTGTATGTGTGTGTTTTTTTTTTTAGTGTAAAATATACACCGAAGTGAACAAGCATATACCATCATAACGGTCGTAACCGCGCTTGAAGAACAGAGTGTGAGCTACAGTTCCAGATGAGACAACTATTGACGGGAGGTGCTTGCCCTCCTCTTGGACCACAGTGCGGCGAACGCACTTGTCCACTTCCAGCTCTTGCCAGCCATCTTGATCTTCCCCAGCATGTTCTGCTCCTCAGCAAAATACCTCCGATGTCGTTGTCAAAGTACATCTTACTTGTAGGCTATAGTGGGGCACTCCTTATGGGGTACAGCACTTCTAGGGTTAGTACTTGTACCCCAACCCTTGCTAATCCAATCATTCCTGCACAGTTCTCTCGATATGGCTTCAAAGCAGGTCCATCTGTAGGACCACTCGTTTAGGGCCCACCGTTAGTTCCGTTCTGCCCATTTTCCTGCCCGAATCGCGCCCTAGGCAGGCCGTTTTTCTGCCCCGGATTGCGCCCCTAGGCTGGCCGTTTTTCCTGCCCAAATCGCGCCCCTAGGCAGGCCGTTTTTCCTGCCCAAATCGCGCCCCTAGGCTGGCCGTTTTTCCTGCCCGAATCGCGCCCCTAGGCTGGCCGTCTTTCCTGCTTGAATCGCGCCCCTAGGCTGGCCGTTTTTCCTGCCCAAATCGCGCCCCTAGGCAGGCCGTTTTTCCTACCCGAATCGCGCCCCTAGGCAGGCCGTTTTTCCTGCCCAGATCGCGCCCCTAGGCAGGCCGTTTTTCCTACCCGAATCGTGCCCCTAGGCAGGCCGTTTTTCCTGCCCAAATCGCGCCCCTAGGCTGGCCGTTTTTCCTACCTGAATCGCGCCCCAAGGCAGGCCGTTTTTCCTACTCGAATCGCGCCCCTGCTGCTGCCGCTCCAGCCCCTGTTACTGCAGCTACAGCCCTACTGGTGCAGCTACAGCCCTTGCTGCTGCCGCTACAGCCCTTGCTGCTGCCGCTACAACCCCTGCTGCTGCCGCCCCAGCCCCTTCTACTGCAGCTACAGCCCTGCTGGTGCAGCTACAGCCCTTGATGCTGCTGCTACAGCCCTTGCTGCTGCCGCTACAGCCCTTGCTGCTGCCGCTACAGCCCCTGCTGCTGCCGCCCCAGCCCCTTCTACTGCAGCTACAGCCCTGCTGCTGCAGCTACAGCCCTTGCTGCTGCTGCTACAGCCCTTGCTGCTGCCGCTACAGCCCCTGCTGCTGCCGCTCCAGCCCCTGTTGGTGCAGCTACAGCCCTTGCTGCTGCCGCTACAGCCCTTGCTGCTGCCGCAACATGCTCTGCTGCTGCTGCCACTGCTGCATGCTCCGCTTCTCCTGCTAAGTGCTGCTCCTTACTGCAGCTGCTGCTACTTGCTGCAATTGTCGCTCCTTGCTGCTGCTACTTATTGCTGCTGCTCTCTACTGCCACTGCTGCTGCAACTCCTCTTGCATCTTCTGCTGTGCACCTTCTCCTACGTGCTGCTTCTGCTGCTACTTGCTGCAGCTGTCGCTCCTTGCTGCTGCTGCTCCTTGCTGCCACTGCTCCTTGCTACTGCTGCTGCTGGTGGAGGTGCTGCTGGGAGTGCTGGGAGTGCTGCTGGTGCTGGGGGTGCTGGAGGTGCGACTGGGAGTGCTGGAGGTGTTGCTGGTGCTGGAGGTGCTGGACCTACTACTGACCGTCACTGCCTGTCATGGCCACTATCACGGCAGTTGCAGCAGCTAGGGGTGGACAGCGGCGGTCACTGCCTCTCCCGGACGACCCCACCCCTCAGCAGCTTCGCGAGTGGGTTCTTCAGCGAGCCCGTCCAGGTGGTGGAGGCTTTGGTTTTCTATGTACTGCGTAGAGGCGGCAACAGCGTCAGCAAGAGACCTTCTCCCCGCAGGTGCTTAGTGAGTTGTTTCCTCAGCGATGTGTCACTGGTTCTGTCGAGGCTGCTGCACTAGGTGCTAGTGAGTCTGCTGCCGCACTAGGTGCTAGTGAGTGTGCTGCAGCTTTAGGTGCTCGTGCGTCTCCTGCCACCGGTACCGGTCTCACTGGCTGACCCCACTGGGGGCCCAGTAGTCGCGCGAGCCTCCACTGTCCTCCCGTGTCCAGCAGTCCCCTCCGGTTCTTTGTTAGGTCTCCACCTCCCCATGTTCTCGACGAACTTGGTGAGCAACGCTGCCATTCAGGATGTCTGGGTTGATAACTTTATTCCTGGAGGGCAGCGTGTGGCGATCTGTACGTGCTCCCGGACTGGCCGTCACCTGGCTGCGTTCACTCGACGGTCTGGGTCTAGTCTGTACACACTGACCACTGCGTCTGCACAGGTGGCTGCGGCAGGTCAGGTGGCTGCGTCGAGTCAGGTGTCTGCGTCTGGTCAGCTTGCAGTGTCTTGCTCGTGTCGGGTACTCTCAGACCAGACTCTCCTCTGGCACCACCGTCCTCGGTCTTCTCCTAGGACGTCACCTTTGACGAGTCTGTCTGTTACTACAGGCTCCACCCGCACGCGTCCCACACGGTCCCCCTAATGCCTCTTTTCTTGGTACCAGTCCCCCCCCCGGTAGACCCCCTCCCCCCACAGGGTCCTGCTCCCTCAGGTGTGTCTCAGGTAGATCTACCCCCCTTGGTTGAGCCTTTGGAGGTCTCTTCTGACGCCTCTGGCCCAGCTGAGGGGGGTGACCATGCCGTTGACGACACGGCGGCCACTCGCCGCTCTCCATGCTTGGAGACCCCCCCTAGTTTTCTGACTCGGCCGTCTTCGCCGCCTCCGCAGCCTGCTGCTGTGGAATCTGGAGCTGAGACTACTGGTGCTGAGTCTGGGGGTGCTGAGCCAGAGGGTGATTGTTATGGGGGTGCTGCGACTGGGGGTGCTACGACTGGGGGTGCTGGTTCTTGGAGTGCTGTGACTAGGGGTGCTGACTCTGGGGGTCCTGCGAGTCCTAGTGGCGGTGGAGCTGTGGGTGACCCTGCTGGAGGTCCTGGAGCTGGACAGCCACCGCAGCCTGACCTACTTGAGATGCTCTCGCCGCAGGCGATTTGTGCGTGGATCGTTCGGCGAGGCAATCCTGGTGGTGGAGGGTACGATCCTGGTGGTGCTGGAGCTGCTTGTCCTAGAGGTACTGCTGGTGCTGGAGGTACTGGAGGTGCTGCTGGTGCTGGAGGTGCCGGAGCTTCTAGTCCTAGAGGTGCTACTGGTGCTGCAGGTGCTGGACCTACTAGTCCTAGAGGTGCTGCTAGTGCTGGAGGTGCCGGAGCTACTAGTCCTAGAGGTGCTACTGGTGCTGCAGGTGCTGGACCTACTAGTCCTGGAAATACAGCTAGTGCTGGAGGTGCTGGAGGTACTGCTGGTGCTAGAGGCGCTGGAGCTGGAGGTACTGGAGGTGCTAGAGCTGCTGGTCCTGGAGGTGCTCGTAGTGGAGGTGCTGGAGCTGCTGGAGCTGGTGGTGCTGTTCGAGCTGGAGGTGCTACTGGAGCTGCTGGCAGTGGAGGTACTGGAGGTGCTGCTGGTGCTGGAGCTGTCGGAGCAGGTGGTACTGCTGGTGCTGGAGGTGCTGGAGGTGATACTGGAGCTGCTTGCACTGGAGGTGCTGGAGGTACTACTGGTGCAAGAGGTCCTCGTGCTGCTGGAGCTAGTGGT